ACTAATTATAGATTTATAAAGCCTATATCTTAAAATTCTAAACCCTAAAAAATATTTTGACACCTAAAACCCCCTAAACATTCAAAACTAAACCTAATAGCACATAATTAACCCAAACATAAATAATATAAAGAAAAAATAATTTTGAAAAAGTGGCATTTTTGTAAAGATTTCAAAAGTGTGGCATTTTTGTAAAGTGGCACTTGAAAAGTGGCATTTTTTGAAATTTCTCAAAAAAAAATCAATGAAATTTGTGTCTTTGAACATCATTTTATTTATATTACTACAATAGAAAATATTTTACAATTCTCAGAGATTCATACTGTACTATTTTACAAGGTTAGAACGCTTAGAGTTGCAAATCAATCCAAATTCCATATTATTGAGCATGTGTTAGCAATTTTGGTTCAATTTTCTTAATTAATACCAACCTATTAAAATAATTAAAATAAAATATTAAATTCATCTGCACGGGCCCTTAATATCCTCATAAGTCATAAGAGGCGTAGCCATAAGAATTTCAAGCCTATTCACAAAGTCTCATTTTGAACCTCAAGACCCACATCCAAGTTGTCTATGTCAGCGGTGGCGTCCCAATAAAATGATCATGAAATACATGCTTTATTTGTTACCGACGCAAGCGAAATGACTTTTTTTTTTTTTTAATATCTGGTTATATTTCTTTAGGAGCTGGGTTACATAAAGAGAATAAAAGAAAAGCAACATTCGGTCATGAACCATAAAAGTATAAAAAAAAGAAAAATAAAAGAGAACTTTTACAATAGAGGTTAAGTAATTCTGAACCACATGCCTAGAGAGTTAGAAAATGTTTCTCTCTCTTTGCAAGCAAGACACGAATTTCGGATACTTCTATCCACTTTCTTAAACAAGATCTCCACCGGAATGGATTTGTTGTTAAAGATGCGATTGTTTCTTTCTTTCCATAAGAGTTAAAAATGACTTTAAATTCCTAAAGAGTTCATCGATTGAAATATCAAATAAGTAAACTTCTAGCGAAAAGAGATAAAGCACCGACTCGTAACCTTTTGTTCTTTTTTTTACAAAAAATACACGTGTCAAGGCCCATGTCGCCAAACGGCCGACGGAGGCCAAAATAACATCGCCGGTTATGGTAACATGATAAAAAAAAAAAGGTATAGATTTCTAGTTGATTACATGACCGACGCGAAAACCGTAATCGTTAACGAAGATTTTCAATCATAAATCACTTGAAAATTATGGGATGACAAATATTAATGTAATCTACTATCGTCCTTAACTTTTTTTTTTTTGACAGGCGTTCATGGATTTGCATGTAAACTGAAGTTGATGAATCTAAATTCATATGTAAACTTAATTAGATTCATATGTAATTTAAATTCATTGATAAATCTAAATTCATATGTAAACTGAAGTTGATGAAATAACTTATGCAATTAGATAAGTGGAGACTTTTAAAACTTAGAAAGAATGTGTCTGTTGGAATGGAACGTTGCCAAAACATCCCCAAGATTCGAAACCATACATTTGACTTGTAACCTTTCGTAACATTTTTTAGTTGGACACGTGGCAATCATATAGCACATTAAACCCAACTGAACACTTTCTATTTTTGATTATTCTCAAAAGATAAGATTAATCTTTTTACCAAACATCTACGGATCTAATTATACGATCTTACAATTTCTAGATATTCAGATTTTGATATCCACCCAACCATCATAATATTTGCGGATGTCTGAATCCATACATCTAGAAAATATATATGTTAAAGTACAAAAAATTAGAAAATGAATTTTTCTATGTTTTTGAAGCTAAAATTTGACATAATATAAAAGGAAATAAAATTAAGTTTTATATAAAACCACATAACATAACCAATATTTTAAACGATTTCAATCTTTCTAAATTTTTGTGCACTGAAATCACAATATCTACATTTGGATTCGGTTTCGACAGATTTGAGATTTCTCTTTCCGGATCTGAATACAACTCTTTCTGAATATTCGGATTTTCGTAGTGAATTGGAGCAAATCTCATGTCATGTATACTAATTCCAGCACTACTACATGCGAGATAGTTACATTTATATAAACTTTTTTTTTTTTTTGTCAAACAGTGATAGCCCCTTGGTCCACTGTGGTTGAGCAGAGTTTTATGTGTTGTTATATCAGTCAGATATGGGTTCGATTTAGAGAGAAGACAAATAATTTGTATATTAATGAACGAAGCATATTAGAAATCTTTGGCGTGGTGGATGTAAAATTGTTTGGTATTTTGTATGTTAAAGATAAAAACGTGTATTGTGGAATAATCTATCGTTAAATTTTGTGGTATGATTATTGTGGAGTCATCCGCCGCTTGTCATGAATAGTTTGTAGGAATTAAATTTGTTAATGAATGTAAAAATCATCATTATAATAGGATAAAATTATGAGTGATTAAATTATGTTTCACTATCTGTCCAAAACTCATGCAATAGCAGAATAAAACTTATGCAACAGCAAACTATTACTCACCATCTGTCCAAAAAAGAAAAGCAAACTAATAACATATTCAAATTTTGTTTTCTTTTTACTATAGTTTTCATTGGATACATTGATTTGTTATTAATTAAGCTTTTGAGCAGCAGTAATTTGCCACATCAATTTTGTCGGTTGACAATGTAATCAGCAAGAGATAACAAGGGAGCCACTTTGTTTGAATCAAACCCTTGAAGATGTTCACGCGCTTCTCTGTTCAACTTCTCAGCATATTCTCTCGATTTCTCCACTCCCATCACTCTCGGATACGTCATCTTTCCAGCGATCAAATCTTTACCGGCGGTTTTCCCCAGCTCTTCCGATGACTTGGTCACGTCAAGCACATCGTCGACCACCTGAAACATCAACCCAGTGCATCTAGCGTATCTCCTAAGCCTCTCGATCTCTTCATCAGAGCCACCTCCAATTATAGCTCCTATAACAGCCGCCGCTTCAAGCAACGCAGCCGTTTTGTGAATATGTATAAACTCAAGATGCTTCAGTCCGACTTCATTTTCCTCCAGGCTCATCCCTTCTCCGGCCAGATCGGCAGCTTGACCCGCAACGAGCCCTTCTGTTCCTACGGCTTTCGCCATCTCCAGAACGGCCCGTAGAACCCTCTCTGGAGAGACTCCAAACGAAGTGGATGACGCCAGCTTCTTGACGGCCAAAGCTATGAGCGCATCAGCGGTCAAGACGGCTATATCCTCTCCAAAAACTTTATGATTTGTAGGTTTTCCGCGGCGGAGACTATCGTCGTCCATACAAGGGAGATCGTCTTGGATGAGAGACGACGCGTGGATCATCTCGACCGCACATGCACCTGGCACTGCGGTTGACTCTTGGCCGCCCACGAGCTCACATGCAGCCAAGCAAAGCATTGGCCTTACGCGTTTTCCACCTGAGAGAAGCGTGTACCTCATTGCCTCGTGGATCTTGAGTACTAATGGGTTATTGCAGAGTGGAACGGCGTCGTTTAGTGCCTTGTTGATTGATTTAGCCTTATTGGTCATATAGAAGATGAAGTCAAAGCCCTCATCACTTGAGCTTGGGGCGGTCAAGAAGGTGCGGTGGAGTCTTGACAAAGACGCAACCACCGTGTAACGTGGTCGCATGATGGATTATCCTATACTTGATAATAAGAAGAGATTGAGAAAGATGAAGAGTGAGAGTGAAATACAGTTAACAATTAGAGTTTCCAACCTTTGGGGTGGTTTGGTTTATGTGTATGTATTATAGTGAAATTAACCTTAGGAAAACGCCAAAAGACTTTGGATACTGTAATCTTAACGTGCTCATTGAGGAATCAACTCACGTTCTCTAAAATTTTAGGCAATTTATTTATGTAGCACACCTGAGGATTAAGCTAATTAATACTTCCTCAGTTTTTTATTATAGGATATTTTAGAGGTTTTTTTTCTTCACATTATAAGATGTTCTCATATTTTTAGGTATTTTTAGCTTTATTGATAACTATATGACCAATAATCTTTTGAAGTCTTTTTTTATAATTAGCTAAATTATTTTAATTAATATATTAAATTTTATTTTTTGATAAAAAGGTATTTTTTAATGTTTGTGTTTTTAAATAAAATATCATATAATAAGAAGCGGAAGGAGTAATCTACTACTAACATG